AGTGAAAGAAGAATGTGCTCTTCTTGATTTCTTCTTATTGGCTTGCGACAGAAGAGAAATAAGTTTTTTTCTTGTACGTTTTTCTTCTTCTTCGGTGTATCTCAGTTTAGAAAGAGAAGAGTGAAGATGTGGGAGAAAGAGTTCGCTCTTGTAATTGAAGACGATCCACTGGTGTAAATTCCTCAATTAGTAAAATCCTCTGCAACTTCGTGGATGTAGGTAATTTGCCGAACCACGTAAATTTGTGTGTTCTTTTCTGGTGTGAATTTTCTTGTTCTATTTTTCACTTCGTCGTCGATCGTTCTATTTTATTTCAATATACCACAACATTATGTACTGTTAATGAATGATTGTTGGGATTGTAAAAATACTACTTATTTGACCCGCTCTTTTTTTTTTAATATGAAGCATGTATATCTATAATGCATTTAAAAGAATCAACCAGTTCCTAAATTTTGCTAATAATTTAAAAAAGGGTGTGTTCTTTGCTTTTTTTTTTCTTCTAATTTTTACTTCTCGTTCAATTCGGTGCTTTAAGTTTGGGCTTTTTCATATGTACATTTTCTTAGAAGTATTGGGGGCAAAAGCTCAATTTCAATAGAAATTATAGAGAAGTGTTACATGTTTGGGTCAAAAAGGTTTAGAGAAAAAATTAAAACTTGAAGAAGTCAACTAATAAGAAAGCTGTAGAAAGGAAGAACATGAGGGCATCCAAAAAAATTAATGCGGGGATAGACTTGGACAGAATGATTTCATCTTGACACATGCTCTATCCTACAATAGCATAAAGAGCCCTTGCTAAGTGTAAAATTGGTTCTAAAATGTTGCTAGATTGAACATATGCATAAAAACATAGAATTGGTAAGACATTTGTCTAAAGCCCATTGGCCATGCACAAAATTTCCAACACAATCTATAAGAGCTAAAATAGTGAGAGCCATAAAACGAAGTGGTTGTAAAATCTCCAATAAGCCATAGACATACCTTTAAAATCAACACCTTATATTAAACCCACTAAGAATGAAGATGTTTCCAGGAGAACTAAAATAAAGCCAGGCAAAATTCTTCCTTTCTCCAATGAATTTAATGATCTATAATCCCTCTTGGTGTCCCCCTCTCCCCCTCCTAGTTGGTTCAAGGCGTTTGTCATTGAGAACTAAACTATTACAACAATGTGCAGAGGTAATTCTTTGGTAGACTACCCTTGGAGCTAAGCATCCCCAAGGTGCATCATGGAGCAAGCACTTTTGTACCAGAGAAACATTACCAAATAGTCTTATTTTCAGAATGTACTGGACCCTTACTTTTTAGTTTTGTTTTGACTACATGTACAAAAGGACTATCTTCTTCTTTTGTTTTCCATTTTCTTTTCTTTTGTCTTATACTCTGTTGCTTTTAATTGGACTGCAATATGTAAGTTTCTAACTAAGATCGTTCTATCAGTAAGAGGTAGGGCAAGTAAGGAAAAATGTTCCAATTTTGAGACCAGGATATTAGCCAACTCTCAAAGTCTTTGACACGTTCAAAAAACAACATCTATGATTCAAGCTGTTTGATCTCCAACTCCATAGATTAGGCTAAAATAAGTAATTTCTTAGAGTGGTAACTGTAATGAGATCAACCTAGCATTAGCCAACAATTGATCAAATGATCAACAAAAGGAGGTGGGATATTAAAGATAGACCATTTTGAATAGGGGAGTTGTCTTTAGGAAGAACCCTAACTTTTTGAAAACGGAAAAAGCATCCATTGCAAGAGCAAAGAGGCAAAAGATAAAAGTCATCTCAATATAAAGACTAATCATAATACAAAGAAACCATGAATTTCCCTATTAAGCACCAAGGAGAGAGGCATATTCATAATACAAGAAGATTTTCATTTAATGATGTTATGAGAAAATCCCTTTTAGATAATCTAATTAGAATTGAATGCTCATAGTCAAAAGCCTTCGTAAGATCTATTTTAACATAGAAAAAATTCCTTGTGTTTCTCAAGTTAAATTGGTGAGGGAGCTCATGTGCTAGAGCTATATTTTAAGTGATATATCTACCTTTTGTAAAAGTAGATTGGGATGGGTGAATAATGATATGAAGCCTACTCTTGAAATGATTTGTGAGGTCCTTAGTTATGATTTTATAGAAAGTGTTGCACAAGAAGATAGGTCGACAATCAATTATAGAGATTTCGTGTTTATTCTTTGTAATAGGGATAATGAGATTGTGTTTCATCATTATGGTTTTTTTTTTCTTATTAAGAGAGGGATTGAGGTGTCAATGGATGATCTTTTTATGCTTGACACTTTTTTTGATATACTTGTTGAACATCTAGCTAAAGTTTTACGTAAGTTTGAAAAAACTAATATTGCGTTGAACGGAGAAAAATTTTGTTTATGGTCGCTGAAGGTATCCTTTTAGGACATAAATTTTTTAAGAGTAAATTGAAGGCAGATATGTGAAGGGATTAATTGTTTTTTATGGTATGCAGGATTATACATTAGATATATTATAGACTTCTATAAAATATTCAAACAACCGTGTCACTTATTAGATAAGGACATGCCCTTTATTTTGATGAGTGTCTAATAGTTTTTGAACTGTTAAAGCAAAAATTTATCACAATACCTGCTATTGTATTTTCCGATCGACGATATTCTTTTGAGCCAATGTGTGATGCTAGTGATTATGCTGCAGGAGTCGTGCTATGCCAAAACAAAGATAAGATTTTTCATTTAATATACTATGTCAGTAGAATTCTTAATAAAACTCAAGTTAATTGCACTATTGTTAAAAAATAGTTACTATTCATAATGTATGCATTTGATAAATTTAGATCCAACTTGATATGTATCAAAGTAAAGGTTTACACTGATCACTCAACTATCAAATATCTTGTAAATAAGAAGGATTTCAAGCCCCCCGCTTGATTCAATAGATACTTATAGTTCAAGAATTTGATATTGAGATTGTGGAAGGGTACTGAGAATCATGTAGTTAATCACTTGGCAAGACTGTAAAATTTTGAGGATTTATTAGGTAATATACATAATAATTTTTTTGATGAACAACTTCGTTCGATCATTACACAATATATGCCTTGGTATGAAGACATTGTTAATTTCTTTATTAGTGGAATAATTCCATATAATCTATCATAACTAGAGGAAAAAAATTATGTCTAATGCCATATTATTTTCTTAGGATAAACCATATCTGTTTAGAGTGTGTAAGTACCAAATTATTAGGAGATGTGTTCCTTTAGATGAGGTAGGAAAAATCATTAGATCTTACCATGACACTGAGTTTTGATGACATTTCAGAAATTTAAAACTGCGTCTAGGATTTTACAATAAAAGTTTATTGACCACCTTGTTTAAGGATACTAATGATTACATTAAGAAATATAATAATTGTCAAAGGGGAGACAATATTTTTGGGAGACATGAAATGTTCTTAAACTATATTTGGAGGTTGAATTATTCGATGTTTGAGGAATAGATTTTATGTGACATTTTGTGTCATCTTTAAGAAACATTTACATTTTAATTGCAGTAGACTGTATCTCGAAGTGGATTGAAGGATCGACTTTACCAAAGTATGAATCCCAGGATGTTAAAATTTTTTTAAAAAAAAAATGATTTTTAATAGATTTGGAATGTCAAGAGTTATTATTAGTGATGAAAAGAGTTATTTTTATAATAAATGAATTGAGATATTAACTTAAATATGAAATTAAACATATGATATCTACTACATATGACCCTCATACTACTGCTTTAACACAAGTTTCTAATTGAGAGATTAAAAAAAATTAGAAAAAACTGTAAACCTAGTAGGAAAGAATGGTCCCTTAGGCTAGATGATTTATTGTGGACTTATAGGACTGCTTTTATGACACCCATAGATATGTCACAATATCTACTATATATTAGTGTGTTATCTCTTATATCTTAATTTACCTTCGATTCGATCAATTGAAATGTTAAAACCCCTTGTGATCAAAGGCTATTGAACGTAGGCTAGAAAAACAAATAAGATAACACTCAATTACTTAGTTGAATAGGAATATTGTCATTAGAAGATTGCAATCCTATAAAAGACTTTAAGATTCTGGTGAGACTTTACAAGGTTAAGCCAACTTAATCATATTATGAGGCTCCAATGCTTCTTATATCTATGAATAGAGTAAGGAATATCTGTCCTTAATTGTCTATATTAGGAAGGGGAAATTCATTGGAAGAAGATTGAGAATTCACCTAATAAATTTCAAAGAATCATATCTCTCATCTAAAAAACTCAAAACTTTGTTAGATTAGCTTTTAGATTATTTAAGAGCATAGAAAAACTTAAGAAAACACATCATCTCAAACTAAACCTAGGATTAGTAAACTAGAAATTTATCTTTATAAAGAATTATCAGTTTCTTGTGGGATCAATACACGAACTCATAATCCGTATAGTGTACTTAATTGATACGTATATTTGTGTGATTTACGCGTGCTTACCACTTTGGGGATTATAGCTTCATAGGCACCTACGGACGTTCAAACCACACTTCCACAAAAGCATTTATGTGATCCCATACTGAAGAAATATTGAAATGAGTTAAAATAGAATATATCAAGAAACATACCCCAAACACAGCTATTAAGCACTCAAGCAATGTATTTAATTTTATTTTTTGAATAAAAATGAATCAAATATACATTCAAATTTGCAGATTCATGTGTGGCAAATATCTAAAATTTTTTTATTTTTTTTTGCTTATATTCTCAATGTTTATAAATAAAAAAACAGCATAATTACCAATTTTATTACTTCACATTTGCATATTCCTTTCTGCTTCGTAATAGTATGGATAATGCAGAGGCATATAGAATTTAACTTTTGCCTTATAACAGTACTCTTGGTTTTCATGCTGCCGTTTTGTCTTATACTATACAATTGAATGGAAATTTTGTCTTGGCTCATATTAATAATATCTAATCCAATGTTTCATTTCAGGAACCTCTAATTACTTCAGAGGAGTGATGCTTATTCTCAGCTATATAATTGTAGCAGCCAGCTTTAATGAGCACGTTGATTCTACCTCAGGTGAGTCCAAGCTACCATTCTGTTCGTAAGCTTTTCTTCCAAATAAACTTTATGACCTTCACTATCTTTCCATATCAAACCTGTTTGGATGACTTTATAGTATTTATCTTGATAACCTATCATTTGTTTTTATAGAAGTTAATATCCTAGAAGCTAGGAAGATAAGAACTTTAAGCATACCTCAAGGAAGAGGAGGTCAGGTGAAGAAGCCTACAAATGTTAAAACTGTAGATTTTATTGCATGAGATCATTTTGATTCTGTTGATCCTTGTAGGAAACAATCTATTTGCTGTAGTTTAGCTCAGTAGAAAATAACTAGCTTAGTCTAGGATGCATTTGGACGATATCATTCAATTAAAATCCATAAGATTCATAATAACCATTTTTCTCAAATCTTTAACGTCACATCAAAAAACTACTATTATTACCTTTCTAAAAGTGAAATACGTCTTTTGATGCATAGATACAGTGAATATATGTAAAAAATTAAAGTTTAAGTGTTAGTCATGTAAATACATAAGAATTGAGTGGTATGCATGTATATACCCCATTTCTTTTTTATATGTGAATTTGAATGCCATTGAAATGAGTTCTTGGCATATTCAATGCATATGGTTCTCGTAGATGAAATGTACTCATATGTGTAGTCTTACTCCTATTAACATTTGACCATATAAAGTATGAGTTTTTTTTTTGCTCTTCTATTTATTTAAGATAAAGTGGGTGCATTGTTTGTTATGTAGTTAAATTCACCGTTGGGAGCTAGAGAAATCCTCCATATTGCATTCGTGAGATCTTTAACCGGGGACTAATATCTTAGAAATTAAGTAATATACCACTTAAGCCAAGACACTTTAATGACTATAGGAATTATGAAGGCTAGATTGAAGAAGTGATACTCCATCATGACTTGGTGGGAATAATGTGTCACTCAAATAGCCTCTTTGGGTTGTAGAGATAATGTTTTATTCATTAACCTCTATCAAAATTCAACATTGGTTGTTGATTTAAGCATTGTGCTACTTCTTCATTATCATTATCGGCTATCATAACTATCAGCACTTATGAGAAAATTCAATTTAGTACCATCAAATTAGTGAGCGGACCAATCTAGAGTACCAAAAAAAGACACTATCTGTTAATTAATTGGAAGGAAAAACTGAAAAGAAAAGGAGCAAACCCGTGTAGAATGAACTTGTTAGTTTTATAAAACAGGGTAGGCATTGCTAAGCAGCAATGAAGCATACGTCACTGAATGCCAAAAACCATTGAAAAAAGGTAGGGAGAGCTGCAAAATTATTTAGGGAAATTATCATACATACCAAACAATTATTATGTAGTTAGATATCTAACACCTAAATTTTAGTATTTGCATTTATAACATTTTGCTATTATAAAGCTATGCATGAAAAGGTTGGTTTGACTTTTAAAAAGTTAGTAATAGTGGTATTTTCAATATGGTGTTAAAGATTTGAGTGATATGTTTGTAAATATCAATTTTTTTGTGTTCGATGTGTAACTATGTAAGTATTGTATGGTATGCATGTAAATGCCCCAATTATCTATTGATCATATTGATAAGTCTTAGATGAGGATTCATGCGGATTCAGAGATGCACGAGGCCTATGTTTATTTTTTTTTTGTTAAGTAGATGATAAGGACTGAGCTAGAAATGTTGGCGCGGCTAAGTCAAATTAATGCAATCCAAGCGGTCATTATATACAATATCCCTTAAAATTAAATTAGGAGAAAGTCATCATTAATCTAACAATACCTTAATCCTATGATAAAGCACTGTTTCTCTAAATATGTATTACTGCACGTTGAACTGTACTTAGATTGCATGATGTGAGAAACTAATATCCAAATTACCTTTCTTAATCTTGAATGAGAAAAACTGACTGCTCATATTTGAAAGTCAATCATAAACTTTTATTAAACTAGTGAAATGAATTTAAAATTACAAATTTTAACACGTTTGATCATTCCTCTGATGAGTTATGTTATGATCTAACGTAATTGTGCTGAATAATCAAAGATTTATAAGTATATCTACCATTAGATGACAACATAACTTACGCCTCATTATGAAGGAGTTGCTCTTGGCCTCTTTATCCTTGATGAAGTTGATAGAATTTTAGATCGGCTTCCTTTGTTCTATTATAAGCATCCTTCATGTCAATCTCTATTTTCTTTGTGCGCTTCTTGTAGGCATTTTACATAGTTTTCTGATTGAAAACTGACGAAGCAAAATTTTGTCAACATAAGATTGACTACATATAAAACAAGGGAATTTTGTAAATAAAAAAAACAATAGATGATTTTGACTACATATAAAAAACAAGGAAGAAACACCCTCCTTCAATATAATATCGTGCTCGTGCTCCCTTAGAGGAGATAATCGACTTGGTTATTGGAAAACATCCGTATACTGATGCAGGAGCTGCTGGAGCCCTTTCGGAAATTTGGCCAACTCTGAATCTCGAATCTCCTCGATGCTCTGCAACATCACCAAGTAACCCAATTCCGCTCCCTGAATCAACTTGACCATGACTTTGAGCGACACCATGGTTTTGCACAAGCCAGCATCTCAATTAGTACCACCTTCCTACCCTCCACTTGGAACTCCATCGTTAAGGACTTCCAATCTACCTTCATCTCTCCCATTGTTCACAGCCACCTCATCCCCAAGATGACATTTGTGCTGGCCAAATCTAAAGGAAGGAAGCCTTCCACCACTTATGGGGCATTTAGTATCAGAACCAGCCCCTTGCACATTCCCCGACTTTTCTTCCACCACTTTTAGGCATTGTAGTGTCAGAACCAACCCCTTGCAAATTCTCTGACTTTTTTCCACCTTCTCTGTACTCATCATGACGTCAAATCTTCCTGTAGTCACCAATTTCAACCTTAGCTTCTCCACAACCTGATTTGAGATAAATTTATGTGTGGCCCTGCTATCCACCAATACCACCATCTGTTGTTCCCCGATCCACCCCCTCACCTTCATGGTGTCATTTGGAGTAAATCCCACCACCGAATTGAGGGACAGATCCGCCACATCCAAATACATATGCTCCTCCTCCATCGCTTTCTCTTTTGATTCCTCGCTCTCTATATCCTCCTACTGAACTAATAGAATTTGTAGGGCACACTTCTTGCAACGGTGTCTTGGGGTGTATTTCTTGTCATAGTGGTAACACAATTTTTTTGCTCTTTTATTCTGCACTTCTGCACCCGTGAGGCCCTTGAAACTACGCCCCCCCCCCCCCCCCCCCCCCCCCCCCCCTGGTCCTATATTCTTCTCCTTTGGCCTCTTTTTTTGAAAGGACATCGTTTGGGTCCTCGGTATCGTGGCTGCTAAGGTGCACTTGTAGAACTCATTGGTGCTGCCACCTTTGCTAGTCTTCTTCACCTGTTTCTTATCCTCCATCACATTGGCGAGCTCCATAATTTCTCTCAACCCTCGCAGTCTCAAGGGGCAGATGGCTGCTCGTATGTTGGGCTTTAGGCCTTTCAAGAAGTTCTTTTTTAGTCCTTCTGTAGAAATCCCTCTCAACCTCCCTGACAAGTGCTCGAACTTCTCCCAGTATTCCATAACCGTACCCTTCTTAGTTGGAGTATAGAATTGCTTGTGTACGTCTTCTTCTCGAATGACTTAGAAACGCTCCAACAAACAATCCTTAAACTCCTCCCATGAGTGTATCGAATACCTTACCTCCATTCACTGGAACCACGCTAAAACCTTCCCCTCCAAGCATAATCTCCCTGCCATGAGATTCTCTTCCTCTGTTAACTCATTGATTGTAAATTATCGCTCCACCCGATACACCTATCCATGTGCATCCTCCCCTTTGAAGATTGACATCTTCAGTTTTCTGACTCTTGCATCTCCACCCTAACTTTCTCTCCCCCAGAATTTTTCCCCATATATCTAGGGTGAAACCCCCTTCTGCGGTTATAGACATATCTCACTCCTAATTCCCTCCTTCCTCCATCATACTCTTTCGCGTCCTTTCCACCACACCTTCTCCAATTTTTGGCCCATTCCCCTTCATCGGAAATTTCCACTCCCCCTCTTCTTGAAGTCATAGGGGGACGCTCTTGTATGTAGATGATGTCTTTTTCATTTTTTTTTTCTCGATCTTCTTCCCTTTTGACCTAGCCAAGTATTCCTTGATCAAACTTTAGTTAGGGTTTGCAACTAGAGCGGTTGGCATGACATTGGCTTGCATCTCTATGAGCTTTTTCATCATCTCCTGCACTTCTCTTATGCCTTCATATCCATTATTAATTCGACTTTCAATAGAAGAAAATCTATCCTCCATGGTAGTGAAGCTTTCTTCTATTCTCGATCAGATTTGCTTTATCTCTCCTTTTAGCACATAATTTTTTTGTTACTTCCATCCCACCAAGCCCTATGCTTTGATACTAATTTGATACACCTTAGAACCAAAATCAGCGAACAAAACACAACAAAACGTCAATAAATGTAGAAGAGACACAAACGAGGGCTGCTCATACGAAAATCAAAGGAAAACAGGCAAAATACAAGGTTGATCTACTTTTCAAGAGGTAGATTTTCTCTACCACACCCTAGAAGTCTCTACGAACACACCACACGATCAAAGAAAACAGCCATACAAAAAACATGCATAAAGAAAGCAACCCTAGGTTATTCCCCTTATCAGAATCCCCCCGCAATATTTGAAAACATTCCTTACAAACTTTCTCTCAAAATTCTCTCAACTCCTCCTCCTTGAGTATGTGATTAGGGCCCTAGTGGACCCCACTTGTTCCCCTTCTCTTTTGCTGCAGCAATAGACCGCTCGGCCTCTTCATCGACGAGGACTGGCCCGTCTATTGAAAGAGCGAGCCAGTTGGGTGGTGTCGACCAGTCCAAGAGGGACTGGTCCTCTTACGCCGGTTACGGGCGTAGCACAGACTTGAAACAATAAAAGCTAGAGAGCTTAAAAAGTGAAAAACAATAAAATGTAAATAGTTTACCTGGAAAAAAATCAGCAATTACTGACCAATAGTATAATTAAACTTTCACGGCATTACCTTGCCCTTTATTCATGGGGAAGGAATGAACATAATGCAGGAGTCCACTATAGCTCACTTTGCATTATGAACTCCAACTGTAGCTTCTAACATGCATAGTTTTCAAGGGTGGCCTAAAAATATTAGAGAGAGAGACCAAAAATGAAAACGATAAGAAAAAGTTTACAAGAACCTTTGATTTCATGCTAGAAGCCTACAAAAAGAAAGGGGGTGGAATACCCCCTAAACGCATCAACAAGCAAATAGTTCAGTATGATTACAGTTATTAGAATATGAAAATGCTAAACTGCTCATGATGAATGGATCATGCACGTGTATGTAATTTACAAAAATGGACTTTAAGACAACTTCACAAAAAAAAATTGTTTAGTGGGTGTTCAACAAACTACTAACCATCTTAACCAGGTGGAGTAGGATCCTTCTCCCAATTCCTGTATTTCGCTTCAGCTGTCTCCTGTGTATCAAAGCTTAAAGCCTTGCTCAAATCCAAACAATTTAAATCAATTCACTGTCTAATCTTCTTTTTTCTATCCGGGACACATCCCCTTGACTCAAAACCACCTTCTGATTTTCTTTTTATAGCAACCATGGCTATTTGGTTCGCTTTCCTAGCTTCATTCTGCTAGTGCAAGTGATGGTTAAAAAAAGTATGAAAGCGTTCAAGAAAGCCAAACAAACAGAAATTTTTCATACATGCGGCATTTGGACGAAGCATATACTTGCCATTCTATGTCTCTGGTTAAACAATTTCTTCTGCCTTTCACTGAGATGTGGATAAGCTGCTTCAGCAACATTTTGAACATGATTTTCATCGTTTTGGTCAACATAACATCTTTGATAAGAAGCCACTTCACTTTGAATAGATATATTTTCTATGAACGTTGTGCCATCCTTACGTTGCTTCCCAGCAAATAAAATGCAAAAGAAAACGTAAATCAACAAACTCTAACTATAACCAAGACAAGATGGATGACAAATGTGAGCAGAGCAGCAAAAGATTTGCAGGAAAGCCAACAGAAAGAAACTAGGGAAGCCAAGCTCCCAATTTTTAGTGTAATTTAATAAAAATCTCAAGTTTTTAAGTAGTGATGAGGTAACTACTTCTGAAACAGTAATTTAATTCAAATTTTAATAATTCATGTAATATGTTCTTGCAATTAGTAAGATTTGATGATAACATTTGGAAAGCTTTTTAATCATTGAGTTAGATCACTTTAACAAATTATTACATTTAACCAGCCCAAATAGGCACAACTTGAAACTTGACTGGCTCAGTCAATGCGTGGCCATTATTATTGGGGAAGTTAGAGAGGAGGAAGAAACAAGTTTTCAATTTTAATCAATTGCAAGCAGTAATCAAATTACAATGTTCCTAAAAGTTCACTTTGAAGCACGCTTCACGAGCAAAAGATTAGTGCGTGATGCTTGCTTTGCTTTGCTGAGATGCACTTTGAAGCGCTGAAATTAATCTGATGTTTTTTTTTTGTTGTTGCAAGTTTTAAGCTTTTTATTATTGCAATAAATTATTAGAAATTTTTGAAATTCTAATTTGGAGGTGTATTCTCGATATTAGCTTCAATTGATGTATTTGTATTATATTTTTTTCTATTTTATATCAATTTTTACGTCATACTTTATATTATATAATTGTGAATGAATGTCTTTATACATTAATAGTTTTGTATAACCTGTTCGCTCTTTAGATAATAAAAGCACTATTTTGTTCTACATTTTGAGATTAGATAACATCGAATCAAAATAATAATGTAAAGCAAGTTGGCTCAAATTCAAACATATAATCAATAAAGGGTTAAAATCCATTTTTTCAAGAGTTGGGCCAGGTAATATATTATGAAAGTTTCTATCACCACTCTAGTAATTAAATTTCTTACAATATAAACAATTAGAAAATTCTTTCAATTAATCAAATCCAAAATTAATATTAGCATCAGTTAGCAGCTGATTTTCAATGGGACACCAACGATGACATATTGTCAGGTAGCTGTTGGTTGTTAGTGGATGTTAACATGAGTTATAAATTTATTTAAATTACTTTTGAGATGAGTGTAATACAAATTTTGGATATATATATATATATATATATATGATTTTAAAATGAACACAATAGTTAAAATTCAAATTATACTAGGATATTTTTAAATAACTTTTTGAGAGATTTACATGCTATACCATACAATTCTTACGTATTTTATGTGTTTATCACTTAAACTTTAATATTTTTTTGATGTAACATTTTAATGTTATAATCATATCTAAATATATGCTGAAAAGATGTTCTTTGTTTTCCTAAAAAAGTTAATATTAGCATTATTTTAATGTGAAATTAAAGATTTTTGTGTTATACAAGTAAATATTAAAAATTAAGTGATAGATATGTAAATAAATAAAATATGTATGGTATATTTAAATCTCCTATTTTTTATTCATGATTCTATCTAATTATTTGAATGATTATATCAATTAAAGTTAAACTAAAGGCAGAAGGAATCCTATATGATAATGCAACAAGAGGCATGTAATGAAGTTTGTGTACAACCCAAAGTACTTCAAAACTGGACGAAGTCCTTCAAATATCACAAATAATAAGGATCCTATGAAGCAAGCACTGATTCTCTTACCGAGGAAATCACACATACATCTCTCTATATAAAATCTTTTTTTAAATATAGCAAAAAAACTTAAATTTTTTATTTTTTTTAATTTTTAAAAATATTTTGATGAAAATTTATTTATGTTAGGCTTAATAACCATAAAATTTATTTTGAAGAGAATTTAATGTAAGTTTTAATTTCAGCCATTTTTTTGCATTGATCTCAATATACTATATAATTTAACCATATTCAATCCATAATGCATTTTATTTTTAAATAAGCATCAATTTATTGCTTGAAATTCATTTCATTTTTTTTAGTTTATTTTAAGTCAGAAAGAATTATTTTAAATTAGAGATGAACTAAATTTATGGCTTGTTAAAATTTTTAGATTTATTTCAAGCCTAATATTGATTATTTTTATACAATATAATTTTATGTTGGTTTGTTGTTTATTAAAATTAAACTATATTCATCTAAAAAAATTAAATAATTTTAATATTTATTATATTAAAAAAATTGATAAGAATATACTATTAAACAACATTTGACACTAACTATAACTAAAGATTCAGATTGAATGAATTAAATGCCCGAATAGCTTCACTCCTAGGAGAAAGAACCACAATCAGGTTACTAGGAGGAACAATAGACGAGGAGGAGAAAGAAAGAACATCTCTCTCTCTCTCTCTCTCTCTCTCATGAAAACTTTCCTCCATCAATTTTATCTTGTTAGTGGTTGCTACAAACTCATGCATAAATAAACCATCTTTTAATACCCCATCCAAATTGATTTAAATATTTTTTATGTTCACATTTGTTTGTTTATCTTCATTACATAACAATCATCATATGTGTTTCTTTCCTTTTTCTTCTTCTTGTAGTGCTTAAGAACTTCTTCCTCATCATAAAAACATGGAGACCAAAGGTGGGAGGCAAATTAATGTTGATGCAGAACCATCTTTTCAGGTAATTTTAGATTTCTATTATTCGTTAATTTTATTTTACATTTTTAATACATGCTTTTCATGGAATTGAGTTTAATGGGCATCAAACTTGTTTGAGAATTTCTATTTGGCTTAATTATTTGTGCTTATGTTAAAGATTGTGAGTGCTTAAGGAGAAAGAAATATAAGAGAAAAATGCCTTAGTATTGATGCAAGTCATGAGGAACTCTTTAATGATAGAGTAATGGTCATATTCATTATAATAAGGATCATTTATTTTGGCATTTTGCTTCAAAGATGCCACAAACATACATAAAATTTCATGTAAAATTTGCAAAATAATAATAATAATAATAATATCCTATTTTCAATCTCCTATCTTCTATTTTTATCAGTCATTCAATCAAATAAAGGGCATACAAGTATGCATTTTAACCATCTAGAATGAGAAGGAGAACAACTGTGTGTGTGGTTTTGTAATTCCTACTTGGCACTGTCCACATTGAATGGGTTGACTTCTAAAATGGAAACCTAAAGGTTTCACTTTTTTGTGATGATTTTATTATTCTAATTTGAGATTTTTTGTAGGCATAAGCATCTTCGATTGATTATCCTTTTATCATTAAGAAAAATTCTCAATTAATGTTAATCTATAAGCTCTATGATGCCTTTCTTCATTTCAATAATTTGATTTGAAAAAGATTATAATAACACTTGCAGATCATATTAATTTATCAACCCAAAAAGTCTTGGACTCTGGTTTAAACAAAAATCGTATGTTCACATCAAAGAATCTTTTTATTGATTTTTCTATACATAAATATTGAAATTAATGTTTTTCTTCCATTTATAAACAGCTGGAGAAGTTGGAAAACAACAGAGACAAGTATATATATCATTCTCATCTTGAAGTATGTCATCTTAACCAAGCCCTAATCATAGTTGATATATATTCAAGAAAATAGCTATACTAAAAAAATTTAATTTTGTTCATAAAATTTATCATCTGCTTTTTTTTTTCTTCTTGAAATCTTGACTTCGCATCAATGGGGAAAAAAATTTTCTCTTAATTCTAGCATTGGCTTTGCTCAGATGGGAAAACTTGATGGACATTTGGAGCTTGAACTTGAGGATGAACGGTGTGTTGGGCCATCTCCTTTCATTAGGAATAATCATTCCCCAGAGATCAAAAGCCCCAATGGATCCTTCTCGGATGCTAGTAAAGAAAGTAGCATAAGCCACATGAAGGACAAAGTCCTTAGAAGCCTTAACATAGTGTTATTTTCAACAAAGATTAATCTATTGATGCCTTGTGGTGCTATAGCTATTATTGTCAATTATTTGACTGGCCAACATGTAGGTGTATTCATCTATTTATTAATTTTATCTTCGTGAATTTTTTGCTTTAATGATGTAATATATTTTGATTCCACTTTTTAAACTAACAATTACTTGTTCTTTATGATATTTTTGTAGGGATGGGTTTTCTTATTAAGTTTGTTAGGCATTGTTCCTTTAGCAGAGCGCTTAGGATTTGTTACTGAGTAAGAAAATCATTTCTCTCATTTCTATATGATTTTAATCTTATCCAATTTCTTAACTATACCTATAATAATAAGTAACATAATATTTATCTTTTTTGATGCAGGCAACTGGCTTTTTTCACTGGACCAATAGGTTATTATTCTTAGACTCACTGAAAATGAAGAAAATGCTCATTTATTCTTCTCATATATTTTACCTTTGATTAGTTTACATGTCACAAATGGTATAAATTGTGCTAGGGTTGAAGGTGGAGTAATAGAAATTTTTCTATTATTTTTTATAATTATACCTTCTTGCAAATGTTTTCTCCATTCAATTTGAAATGATTATGCAAGTCATATACCAAAAAAAGAAAATGATGATCTTCCTTTTACAACCTAATTAATTGTTTTTTATAATTAAAAAATTGTCAATTAGATATGAAGTTTATTTTATTATTATTATTATTATTATTATTATTTTGGTTGCATGCTTATTAGACATATAGGGATGGTTTGAAAAGTGGTTATGATATGAAGGTCAGAAATTTGAGTCATGGAATAGACTCGTGACAAATGCAAGATAGGTATGTTTACATTAACCCTATCCTATCCACCATGGGTACAATTGAGTCAAATTGATATAAGAACAATCTGATAAATTGATCAGTATTCAATTTGATTCTCTAGGCTAGAATACAAAAGTGTGTATGTTCTATGCTTCTTTCTTTTCTAAATTAATTTCTTATTATTTCTACCTAAAATTCTTATTATTTTGATCATTATATCCAATGGTTATTTGGATTAGAATCATTTTCTTTGTTTTATAATAAATAAGTTAGCATGAACTTGTACACTTGTGCTTGAGCTCAGGCCAACTTCGATCAGTCAACGAAGCTCAAGCCAGGGTCCCTGCACGAGCTTGACTCTATCACTTACACCCTCTACCAATGACCATACATATCATGACACTTAATGCTCTAACCCTCCCTTTGAATCTTGACTCTTTCTAACCTTCATTACAAAGTACTCTCATTCTTTAATACCTATTTGGTAATCAACACCCATTATAGTAGAAAAAGGAACAGCATAATATGATGGTAGCTCCAAGAATACTCATAACTCTTCACACTTAACAGTCATAAAAAGGTTATAACTGAACTTGCTCTTTCATCACTATATAATACAAATATCTATATGTGTAGTTGGAGGGCTTCTCAATGTCACATTTGGAAACGCAACAGAATTAATCATATCAATTTATGCACTAAAAAAAGGCATGATTCGTGTGGTTCAACAATCATTGCTGGGTTCCATATTATCAAACATGTTGTTGGTTCTTGGATTTGCATTCTTCTGTGGAGGCATAGCTTATAATAAGAAGGACCAAATCTTCAATAAGGTATCATATACTCTTAACAAGTTTAACTCTTCACATCTAAGAGAGAGAGACAATTAATGTTTCTATGAACAGACAGATGTTACTGTGAACTCTGGATTACTTCTAATGGCAGTAATGGCTATGCTACTTCCAGCTGTGCTACGCTTCACTCACACTGAAATGCACTTTGGCAAGTCAGAATTAGGCCTTTCAAGATTCAGTAGTTGTGTCATGCTCGTGGCATATGCTACATATATTATTTTCCAATTAAGGGATCAGAATAGTTCTTATGATGATGAGAATGAGGTTGGTTAATTGCTTCTGAATTCTTTTTATGGAAAGTATTACATTTGTCCATAATGAGATATTTAAGTGTATGGCCAGTGGAGTGAAGCTTCATCTTAGAAAAAGAAACTAGTTATATCTCATAAATGCTTAAAAGAAAATAAGTGCATCATAAGTGGCTTGAGATGTTCTAATATATTATGTATTAGGATATATCACATAATAAAATGTAGAAGATAGATGTCCAAACTTAGATAATTTAGGAGTGCTTATGAGCTATTTTTTAATGTTATATATATATATATATATATATTGGCAATTACATACATAGCACCCGAAACATGGCTATTTACAAATATATCACCCACTTTCATCCATTTTTCAAATTCTCACTTGAATATCAAAACTCATGATAAAACCCCAACCCTTGTTTTTCCATTTTATTCAATTATCAATATTTTGATCGTGACACATATAAATATATTGGTTCGATAGCTCAAAAATATCAAATGGGTGCTATATTTTGTAAATCTAAATATTTCGTGTGCTGTGTGTGTAATTATCCCTATTTTTTAATTTATGATAAGACGTGTCATTTGTGTAATATTAGTAGTCAAGGTTAAGTTAATGTTGATAAAGACTAAAATTTACCTAAATTTTGTTTGAGATTACTTTTAATTAAAACAATTTCTATTTTTTCAAGCAAAATGAAAATAGGCTAATTACGCAATATTTGATCCATAATACTTAATTAAAATGTATTTACATATCTACCACCTAAACTTCAATTT